GTGCTTACATGAGAATATCAGCTTTCATTTTAAAAGAAAATAAAGTTTCTAGCCCTCATGGTATAGAGAAAAGCATGATAATGAGAACTCGAAAGGGTCAGAAACCAGAAGGTAAATAAAAAGAATCTAACATTTATTATGGTTAAAATATCATTTTTATGGGACTGACTCATGGTTTTTGAACATATGGAGCTGGCAATACTGCGTATTAGTGACACGGATGGGGCCTAAGTGGAGAGGAATTCACAGCCACAAGAAGTAGCAACAGCAACACCAACCTCTGCATTTCTGCTCTGAGATCATGAAGGAGCAAATAAAGAATGAGTAGAATTATGTAGAAATGACAGACGATGAATGCAGCAGACAGGGGAGAAGAGGAGGGAGATTTCTGGCTTCCTTTCTCTCCACCCTTGCAGCCTGCACAAGGGCCACTCAAAATCTAGCCCTATCTCAGCACTACTGTTCGTTTCCCTCCATTTGTAAAGTCAGGCTCCTTTAATAGCATGGGCCCAATTCTCCAGACCTTGAAAGGAGAGAGAAAAACAACTAATGCATTTTGGAAACCTAAAACTCTAAACTCTAAAAGCTCTAAAACACCATTTCTGTAAATAACATTGTCACAGATTCAAGGTGTGCTTATCACGGTTAGAAACATTAAAATGGAGGATTTCCCAGTTCCCCGTGGGTATAAAGTTCCTAGCTGAGATTTTCCAAAGCCAATGACAGGATTTAGCCACCCAGCTCCCATTACTTTCAACTGGATGCTGTGGCTAAATCCTCTAGCTAGCTTTCAAAATCTTTCTTTCTGTTCCTAGTCGTTGGATCTTAAACCTGTCAAAGTCTAAGGCCTAATATTGCCTGTCCTGCATCTCAAAGCAGTAATTTTTGGGGGAATCTATTCCACATTGGAGAGGAAAGAATGAAACATCTCTTTGGAGTCTGCTTAAAGAGGCTCAGAGGTTTGGAATTTTAGTAGTAACTCTGGCAGAGATGGATTGGTGGACAGAGTGCTGGTCAGATAATCAAAGCAATGCAGTTCAGTTTCAATTAAAAGCACAGAATTAAAAAGCAGATTTTTATAGCAGAAGTCTTACAAACAAAGTAGGTTTCTCAACCTATCACCCTTACCAGTCTTCATCTCCTTGTTCATGAAGGCCTCCAAAAAGAAATGCCATTCTTAAAGTTCTTCCCATTAGGGATTCTAATGTCTAAGCATCTTCAGGCCTTCTCTTTAGAGCTGAACAAAAAAGTAGGGGGGAAAAAATCCAAACATTTTTGAAATTGTTTCCATTTTGCAGGGTTCAAAACTAAACATTTTTTCCTCAAAAGTTTCAAAAAAGTTTCCCATTTTAATTCTCCCCCTTCCTGGCACCAGCAGAATAAATTATGTATAGGGTTGGATTTTTCATTTTTTTCAGTTTGCTACTGTTTGTGATGCTTCCTCAACTTTGGAAAAGCTTAAGTAGCAGAAGGAAAAATGGAAGAAAAAAAAATCCCAACCAAAAGCCCTGGACATCGCTCACTTTATTGTATTCAGTGGAAAAAGGGAAAAATTTTCCTTTCCCAGCCAACTCTATCTTTGACCTTAGCACAGACTTTGGATAGAAGGACAAGTGAAGAACACAGAGGGGATCTGTGTAGCAGTGAGTCTTCTGACTCCTTTCTTCCTCAGCTTTTTTCTATCCTGCCCAAAACCCCTTGTGTCCTGTGGGGCACAGAGTTGCATACAGTTCAGCTCCTGGTGTGCACCCCATAATCCTATCCTCTCCTGGGGGGTAAGGGGGAGGCCACACCCATATTGCTGTCAGGTGCTACAGAGGCAGGAAAAGAATTTGTCTCTTACTTGGTAACTCAAAATAAAATAATTCTCAATGAGACTCCTCCGTTGCTAGAGGAAATTAGTGAACTTCTGGTGTATTTACTGAATCAGAGAATGTATTAAATGATGATGACTCTTCAAACAGCACCTGGAAAATGGAAACTAACTCTGGTACTGTGTAACTTTTCAAACCTTCCTCCACTTTGGAAAAGCTACTGTGGCAAAAGAGAAAAGGAAAAAATAGAAAACCCCCTAGACACCATTCATCCTATTGCATTCAGTGACAAAAAGGAATAAAGAAAAAAGGAAACAAGGGGGAGGAAGGTGAAAAAACAAAATACTAAAATTTCAAAAATTTCAAATTTCAAAATGTCAAATTCTAAAATTTATTGGTTTTGACAAAAGAATTAAAAAACTAAAAAAAAAAAAAAACCAAAAACAAACAAACAAACAAACAAAAGCACCCCAAAACCCACCAACAAAGCTTTTCAGAAAAGTTTTCAGTTTTGGAAAAAAGTCTCTTTTTCATCAAAAAATGCTGTAAATGAAAACCTTCAGCCAACTTTACTTATCTGGTTCTTGTTCCCTCTTGGCTGGACTTCTGGGCTCCTCTGGTGTCCCATGATATGCTAAAGCAAGAAGACACACTGAATGTATTAATCTATTCCATCACTTGCCTGACAGCTTGACTAAGACTGGGACTCTAGGATGTAGTGATTTACTGCTCAACTAGTTCCATGCTCAAAATGCATCCAAGTATCTATCATTCCTGCATTATCCTATGGGTGGATGTAGCCTCCCAATTCAGCGGGTGCACGTCTCCTCTTGCCTTGCTAAAGGGGAACCAACCACCTGCAGCAGTAGCCTATGCTCTGACAGAGCACCCCTAATCCCAGCCCAGTGGGGAGGGGAGGGCCCGGGGAAGGAGAGATTGAACCTGCCCTGCACTCACTCCACAGCTGTGCCTTCTGTCCTGTGAAGCTAGACCCAGCTCCTTACTCCAGAGCCACAACACCACTCACTCAAATTTGGCCCGGCCAGCTCTCCATCATGATGGAGGGGCAGCTGGGCCAAGCATGAGATGGGAGCCCCATGGAAATGCACCCTCTGCACATTGGTTAATCCAGGACTGATTTCTGTGGGTGCAATTGTACTATGGACCCTCAGTAAAGCTGCCAGTGTATTATCTCCTGTGTGACTCTGAAAAGGAAAAAAGACTTGGGGTTTCTATGTACCTAGAAGATAGTGTAGTGTGAATACTTCCTTTTGGAGGGGTTGAGGGGTAGTTCTTTTGGCAGTCCTTTAATAAATGATGATTTGAAACCAATACCACTATTTATAGTGAAATAATAACACTGTGTGTGTGTATCTATATATACAATTATTGGTATCACCATAGCACGTGTGAGCCCCAGTCATGGACCAGGACCCCCCTGTGCTAGCTGCTGTACAAACACAGAACCAAAAGATGGTCCCTGCCCCAAGGAGCTTGTAATCTGGGTATAAAGCAGGAGACAATAGGTGAGTATAGGCAGATGAGGGAACACAATGAAACAACAATATTTGTATGTAAACTCTTCAAGTACTTTGCAAAATATTAAGCTTCAACAGCCATGAAAGTTAGGTATTATACTCATGTTACCGATGGAGAAACTGAGGCACAGACAGGTTAACTAACTTGCTCAAGATCTAATGGCATGTTAGTGGTAGGGTTGGGAATAGAATCTACAAGTTCCAATTCTTTTCTTTACTTCTTTTTGTAGATTTATCATCATTCTTCAGAGATTTGAGTTAAGTGTCTCTTATCCAAGGGTATGAGTCTACAGTGAAGGAGGACAGCTGAATAAGAATTTAAAGATTGTATCACAATGAAACTAAACAGCTATTCCATGGCCCAGCCCCGCAGCTTCATAATAGCAAAATGTAAAGTGAGGAATCTATAAAGTGTAAAAATACTGGGGGTAACCCTTTATTGAGATTTTCTTGTGCTTTATGGGCCAGCTCTTCAGTTCACCCAGTTCCACTGATTTATTTAGATTTATAAAAATGCTAAAAAAAGCATTTAGGGGGTGTGGAGGGAGTGCCACACAGCTCCACTCTGCTCCCAGCTCTGCTCCGGCTCTGCTCCCAGCCACGGTCCCAGCTCCCAGCCCTGTGCCCGGCACGCCCCATGCCCCCAGCCACGGCCCCTGACTTGGCCATGGCTCTGTTCCCGGGCCCAGACCCACGCCCAGCTGAGGCCCCAACCTCAGCACCCTTACCCCTGTCCGTGCCCCCCCAAGAACTGCAGCCCTGCTCCCAATCCCAGTTCGGGTGTGGGGGACATGACCCTGAAAAGTGTGGGGACCACTGCTTTAGACACTGTAGATATAGTTTAAAAATTCCTCCTAAGTGCAGCCATTTAAGATAACCTACCTTAGCTCTCCCTCAGAGAGTTCCTTATCCCTACAACTGCAGTTCTCCACCCCCAGCCCCCATTTTCAGATAGCTGAAGGGAAAAAAAAAAGAGATAAGACACAGTTTACCTTGAAGATCATCAGATATGTGCTATTTGACACTGTCCATTGACTTTGAGAGAGCTATGCCAATTTATATCAACTGAGGATCTAGCTCCATATATCTCGTTTATTCAAATGCTTCTTCACATTGAAACTAAAAATGAAATATTGCTGATGTACAGCATCTATTACCTAATGAGGGGCAGCAGTACCCATCAGCTGGTATTTTTGAATATGTGAGTATAAAGTAAACATGTTATAGATGGCAGCTCAGGTATTAGCATTTAAAATGATAAATTGTATAATTGTAAAAGTGAGAATTTCGGTCTGACAACAGAAGTTTCACACTGACAGCACTCACTGCCAGTGGATGGGACCTTGTATCCATAAAGTGCATCTTTCATTTTGGATAAGTAGATCCGGATAATAATAAAGGGCCAGTTTCAGGATGGAGAGAGGTCTTCCCCATCACTTGTAATCTTCTCACATTCAGAAGCATCTTAAGTCTTTTCTAAGCATGTCGATATTGCCTGAAATTCACAGAACCTTCCCCCCTCCACAGCCTTTGTTTGTGTTAACAGGATGAGAAAGTGCAAGGCTTCCTGTTATGTGTGTGTGACAGCTGTAGATAAGCGGAGAGCCCTGGACAGGAAATCCGCTTAACTTCGGCAGTGTAACTCATCTGAAGCTTAGGAACTCTTTTAGAGCGAAGCCCCAACGGAATGACACGGTGCTGGTTTAAACATGGGGGACATGGTGGAGAAAAGTTCTGAAGAACCTTTGGTCTCTTTGGACAATGAGTGCTCCAGGAAGATGGGGGAACTTGTGGAAGTCTCAAGTGGTGACAAGGTTAAGTTTGATGACACTGGGCTCTCTATGGTGCTTCAGAATGGCCTGGAGAACCTCAGGCTGGAAAACTCTCTTACAGACGTCATCCTGTGTGTGGACAGCATGGAATTCTCTTGCCACCGTGTGGTCCTTGCTGCAGCAAGCAATTATTTCAGGTAAGGCAGTTTTAAAAACAAAAGCCTTTTTCACTCAATACATTTAGGCTGGGAATTTCCAAGGAGCCTAACGTTGGGTGCCCAGCTCCTACTGACTTTCAGTGGGTTTTGGACCCCTAACTCCTTTACCTCCTTTGATAGTTGGAGCTTTAAACTAGGAAAGCAACAGTGTCAAACATTGGATTTTTATGTATCAACATTTGTCACGTGTACTTGAGACAGACAGACGGAAAGAAAACAGTTGGCAGGTGAAGCGATGGAAAAATAAAATCAGCCATATATTCTGACCATTGTTGGTGGTTACCCCTCATTGAATGTGGCCATGTATCAGGCAAAGAGGAAGATTCACTGCGATCATGGGGTAGTTTTATTTTAGTGTGACTTCATTTCTGGAAGTTGTCTTTTCCCCCCACCCCACTATTACTATGCAGTAGAGCACACATTCTGTAAACCCATTGAGAAGGAAAGAAGATGTGTGTCCTATATCCTGTCTTTTCCAGGATTACTGTAAAATCAATTGAGAGATGGAAACCCCCTATGTGGAAGAATTTTTAAAAAAACAAAGACTCCACCTTTAGTTCTTTTAAAACCACAGTGAACTGCCCACTTTACGCTACTCACTGAAAGAAACAAATTTGAGACCTGTGGAGAAACATAGTATTGGATATCACACCTTTTCCATCATCATTTAGACCTTCACATTTGCATGACTGAGAATTTTTTTTTTAAACTGTTGAGATGGCCTCTTGACTGACTACAATGGAAACTGGAGGGAAACAAATCTACGATCATTTGTGATATGAGTAGGAAGTGCCAGTTTCATGGAGGCTTAGTAAATTTTACTCACAGAGATCATAACAGAAGTGCTATTTTAGGGATCTGATACTAAAGCTAATACAAAATAATATTTACATGTGAAACTCATGCAGCTAAAAGCAGTGCCCCAGTGTTTCTCACAGTAGGGCCATATGGAAAAGGGAAAATAAACAAAGAATTAAAATATGAATTAAAATAATGTAACTGAAAAAATGGTTAACTGTTAAGAAGTATTATGTGTTATCGGGGGACAACAGATCCCTCCAGCCAGAGGGATCCCCAATGCAACACGAGCGGCTGTCAGCATAGAACACAGCTGATTGCTGTCAACCAGTCACCTGCTGTTGGCCAAGGACTCTGGGAGGATGAAATGCCCCTTGGGTCTATGATGCCCCCTCACCCCTTTGGGACATTTCACAAGATGACCCAATGAAAAGAGGGTGGATACTGACTGGGTGCTGTCATGTTAAGAGCAGAGACAAATACCCAAAGAAACTAAAAGCCCATGAGGCCTTTGTTGATGTATCTCACAAGGGTTCATTGGATGTTGAATGTCTGCAGGGAACAAATAGATCCCAGAATTATTCCTATGCTGGGATTTCACTGATTTGTCATGCTGAATTGGGGTCTTTAGGTCTGTACAGGGCCTAGCACATTTTGGGTGCTAACATAATATAAATAATTAATGCTAAATTCACACTTTAAACAGGAGTTGAGCAGAGGCCAGGCAGAGGTATCAACCTTCAGTCCTTCCTCAGTTATTATTGAAGAGCATACATAACATAATGCTTCTGATGGAGTCCTGTATCCTGAAACATGCCTTAATTCTGCACTACTGCTGCGCAAAGTTAATGATGCAAAGAGGGCACCAAATCAGAAGAGTAGCATTTTACACCTGATTTGCACGTGGTAGTGAAGAAAGAGGTCCACAGAGGTTAAGGTCAACATTTTCAGAAGCACTCAGTAGTTGGGGGAGCCCAAAATTTGCCAAAGTTTTTGAACATGGGTGCTTAATCTTACACTTGCAAATCCAAATTTAGGCACCTAAGTGGTTTGATATTCAAAATTGCTGGGCAGACTGCAGTTCCCATTTCCTGGGTATTTAAATTTGGACTTGGAAGCTTTACTTTAGACACCCATTTTTGACAATTTGAGTCCGAAGCAGTGGCGTGCTGTCCATGTCTGTCAGGTATGCCCTGCATTCCCAGTCAGGAGTGCATTCTCTAGCTGGTAGCCTGCAGGATGTTTCTGTCTGGCCCCCATGGAGGACACCATTTTGTAGAACAAAATGGCATCCTTTGCATCACATGACCTAGCACGCACCGTATTCGCATGAGGCCATGCCACATGGAGGATGCCATTTTGGACAGCCTCAGGCATGCAAGTGAATTGCTGCATGCCTTCCTGTAACTGTCACAGCATGTCACTAGTCCTACGGCTCCATTTACTTCTGAGAGGGGCTCAGCACCTCTGGAAGTCAGGCCTCTGATGGCTCACTGGGTTGGGCACCAGAAAAGAGAGGCATCCTTCCTTAGTGGCCACTTCTGAAAATTTGGTGTTAAGTGACTTGGCCAAGGACACAGAAAATCAGGACCATGGTGGGGGTTAGAATCCAGGTGTTCTGATTTTAAATCATGTGCTCAATCAATGAAAGTGCCGCTTCTCCTGCATATGTACATCTGCGGTATCTATACATGCACACAGATATACAAATACCTACAATCATGCCCCCCCCGCCATGTAATTATGAGGCAAATCCTGAGGTATAAGTTAGCCCTTCAATCCCACAGAGGGGAGTTCTGCACCAGCCTGACCCATGCTGAAGAGCCTGAAGACGATGGTATGGAAGGGGGTGAGGAGCAGGAGCTCCGCAGCTGGAACCTCCAAAGCAGTCAGGAATCTCAAACTATCTATGGATCCTGAACTTCCTCTCTTCATCCCTACCCAGGCCCAGTGGAAGTTACTGCCCTGGGGCTACAATGGACCCTGGAAGTGAGGGGGAGGCAGAGTTGCCTGGGAATATATCTCCCTTCCTGTCAGTCAAGCAGGGAGAGACTGGCCACAGTAGGAGTGCTGTAGGAAAGGCCAGCAGTCCTTTAGTTACATCCCTTCCTCCCCGCCCCCTCCCCCTCCCCCTCCGGCCATGACTTTCAGGGAGGAGTGATGTGGTTTTGCCCAGTGCCTTTCAGCTCAGGGTCTCAGCACACATCATACACAGTGAACAAGTCTCCTGCCCACCTCCCTCATGAGGCAGATGGGGGAAGTATTATCACCTCCATTTTAAAGATTAGAAAGGTGCAGCAACTTGTCCAAGATCAGTGAGTCAGTGTCACAGCTGGGGCAAGAATCCAAAAGCAAGATCCTGAACTCACCTATGGGAGTGGAAAGCCACTGTAACTCCACTGAGTTACTCCAGTTTCATTATGATGATGTACGTGAGATCAGAGCTGTGTCTCCCCTGACTATCAGGGCCATGAACTTACCACAAGACCGCAGTCACAGATCTATGAGATAAAGGAGTGAGGGCACAGAACAGCTGCATCCAAGGACAACAGCCAGTTTCTCACTCACATGAGACGCATTTCCACCACCCACACGTGCAGTATGTGCCCCTTAATTCTTTACCTTTTTGTACAGAACTCCTCTCTCTGTAGTGTGTGCTGGGTGCTTTTGTTCTCAAATGCCTGCCTGCTTGGAACACCCCAGATTTAGTCTCATCAGAGTGCAGCACCCTGCTATAGAATGACAGAGTGAAAAATATAGATGTAATGAGAGCCTAATTCCAGCTCCTGTTGACATTAATGGCTGTTTTGCCATTGACTTCAATGGGAGAAAGATTGGACCATAGTAGAAATCAGTGAACAGAAAAATGCTAAATAGCTGTGATGTCGGTGCAGTGAAAATGAGAACGTGGCCATTCCTTACAATATCATATCTGCCCAAGCCTTCTGCTCAAAGGCTGTGTCTTCCCTGCCATACACAGCAGAATAACTAACGTGGGTTGACTACCTTGCTGTAAAATCCCAGTGGAGACAAGGTGCTAGTCACTTTTACTGCAATGTATCTAGGAGAGGTCAACAGCATAGGCCCTGCCTGTGGCTCACCTCACCTAGGTACTTTGAGGTAAAAACTACAGTGCCTTGTCTCCACTAGGGTTTTACAGAACGATAGATAATCTATGTTCGTTATGCCCCTGGAAACATACACCTTTTCTGGCTTGAAGACTTTGGCCCGCAAGACAATTATTCACTTCTCATGACACACTGTCCTCCTAACATTGCACTGTCTGTAGTCCTCACTAATCTAGAAAGATTTGGCATTCAGGGTTAACAGCAGATAGAATTACATTTGAGACTCACACATGTTTTCCTCTGGCTCTAGGCAAAAGCAGGCTCTGGTACTTCTAATCTTACTGCATCTTCATATCTTCTACTTATTGCATCTTCTTTGGAATCTGGCACATGGCCTCTAAATGATATCTGAACTCAGTGATCAAGATCAGGATAATCAGCAGGTATTTAAGGTCCATAAACCAGAATTACACGGGAGTGAGAAACCATTCACTGGTAGTAAATTCACGCTACAGAAGAAAATTGCTGGAGGAGAGGCTCAAAAATAAAAGATGGATTAAAAAATTAAAGGAAGATAAATGTATCATCAAACAGTGATGAGGAAGCAAAGCGCATCTAGATGGCTCTTAGGTAATTCTGTGGCTTATATCCCTCACAAAATACTCTAAGGATTGAGATTGTACAAGTGTCTTTCCCTTCAAACATAACATCAGTGACCTAAGGAAATTGCCATTTAAGGCAATACTAATAGCCAAGCCAGCCACAATTCAGATTCATTACTGTCCACATACCCTTATATCCAAACACACAGACTTCTCAACTCCACAACAAACTCCATGATTGTTACTCCCTGGGGGGGTAACAGTATATGTGTTTGGAACTATATGATGGGAAGTTAGAGTGAGGCAGAGTTATCAATGAGACTGGGGTTTAGTGCTGGAGAGTGAGGCTGATTACAGCAGCTATCAATGGGGCTCCCACCTGACACCTGCTGCCCACTGAGTCCACACCTCTAGTGCAGAGGCCAGTTCACTGGCCCAATGACAAACCTGCCTCCTTAGTTCCATGGGCCCACCTCCATTCCCCAGCCCTTTAACTCGTTGCCTGTCCCTCTCCCAGGGATGGAAGATGACGAAGTTCCTTGTGTCCTCTCCTCCTTCTGGACCAGGCACAATTTAGCCCTTGATGTTTGTGAAGTGTTTTGGTGAGCGTAGATAAAGAATTATCATCATTACCATTATGATTTAACAGATCTATTCTGCCCATTTCATTTCATCTTCTGATGCACTGGCAGGCCATTATTTTAAGAAGTTTACTCCTGAATCAAGTGTCTATTTAAAAAAGCTTCAGTCTATTTCTGCAGACTGTATGTTTCATTTTACAGAATAGAGAGTGTGACCCTTTAGCAGCTCTATGCTTTTATCATCAGATATTCTCTGAACTGGGCTCCATTGTATAATAACCAGGCAAATATATATTTTAAAATCTAGCACTACAATGGTATGAAAATAATTGACAAAGAATTTTCTTTGTAGTTTTGCTACAATATTAATTGTGTACATACAAAGCAATCAGAAGGATCCTGCATTGATAGAACATATTGATACTGGTAGGTTCAAACCTGGTAGCTATATTTTTTTCAGAATGTGTGATCCTTCTTGGGTAACCAATGAACAGCTGTTGTTTCAGGGCCATGTTCTGCAATGATTTAAAAGAGAAGTATGAAGAAAAAATCATCATTCAAGGAGTTGATGCAACAACCATGCAGATGCTGTTGGACTACACTTACACAAGCCAGGTGCTGATCACAAAGCAAAACGTACAGAAAGTCTTAGAAGCTGCCAGCCTTTTTCAGGTTAGTGAAAAAGCACCTTCAGCACATGGACTAATGGAAACACGTTGTTTCAGTCATTGCTTCCAGGACGCTACAATTCAGCACACATGATCAAAGCGCTACATACTTCTTTGATTTGTCACACCCGTTAGAGATCTTCGGCTTTCATATTATTTATTTGTATTACGGTCACATCTAGGAGCCCCAGCCATGGACCAGGACCATTGTGCTGGGCTCTGTACTAATGGACCATTTTGCTGCCTGAAAGCTCATGGTATTATACCCTTAGTGCAGAGGTGGGCAAACTACAGCCCGTGGGCCCTGAGCTCCTGGCCCAGGAGGCTCACCTGCGGCGCCTCCCCCACTGTCCCCCCTTCCCCGCAGCCTCGGTGTCCTGGCGCCGGCGCAACGTTCTGGGCGGCCGGGCAGTGCAGTTGCAGAGCTGCGGCCTGACCCGGTGCTCTGGGTGGTGTGGGTGTAGTGTCGCCCGCCACCCACCGGTGCTCCAGGCAGCGCGGTAAGGGGGTAGGGTGGATAGAGGGCAGGGGAGTTCGAGGGGGTGGTCAGGGGGCAGGGGTGTGGATAGGGGTCGGAGTGGTCAGAGGGCAGGAGAACAGGGGGGTTGGGCGGGGCAGGGGTCCCGGGGGGCAGTCAGGAAGGAGAGGGGGGGTTGGATGGGGCGGCAGGGGGCAATCGGGGCAGGGGTTCCGGGGGCTGTCAGGGGACAGCGAGAAGGTGTGGTTGGATGGGGCAAGGGTCCCGGGGGGCAAGTCAGGAATGAGAGGAGGTTGGATGGGGCGGCAGGGGGCAGGCACGGGTGGGGGGTCCAGGAGTGGTCAGGGGAAAGGGAGCAGGGGGTGATGGATGGGGTAGGAGACCCTGGGGGCCGTCAGGGGACAGGTGGAGTTGGATGGGGCAGGAGTCCCAGGGGAGCTGTCAGGGCATGAGAAGTGGCCAGTGGGTGGGGTGGGGGGGGAGGAGAGTGTCAGATAGCAGGCGGGGGTCGGGCCACGCCTGGCTGTATGGGGAGACACAGCCTCCCCTAACCGGCTCTCCATACAATTTTGGAAACCCGATGTGTGGTCAGGCCAAAAAGTTTGCCCTGCCTTAGTGGGACTACATTCTAATCATGATGCAGATGGATCTATAAACGGGCTGCATTATTCAGCAGGTCAGTCTAGATGATCAAAATGGTCCCTTCTGTCCTTCAAATCTATGAATCTCACAAATGTGTCCTGAGATTAACCAATTACCTTTAGAATAATAGGAGCTGGTATTTACTCTGGAGAGGCGTGCTTGTTAGGAAAGTACCTCCACACAGCAAAAGGTAATTTAATTTTAGTAAAAGGCAATTTTTACTTCTCATCCCTCTCTCTCTTCCCCGCAACCCCATGGCCTGAGTGGAATGGCCCATAGATGTTTTCAGCATTCCAGTATTGCAAACCCCAAGCATTACAAACTCAGAACATTTTAAAAAAAATTCTGGGCTATTTTTATTCTTCTTCTGTTTTTTTGACCTCTCAGGGTCAGTTTTCAGGCTTTAATCTGAAACCTTGAGGACACTTTTTTTTTAAATGAAAGTTTAAGGGGCTTTAAGTAAAACACCAAATATCCTGAGACTTGTGGTAAAATCCTGAGAATTGACAACGCTGTAATATCCTCAGTTCCAAACTAGAATGTTTAACGGACAGTATCAGTCCTGGCACTGGCCTTTAGAAGAAATTCTGCTACATCCTGCAAATCTGCTGCAGCACTAATGTACACTGATGGGTGCTGGACTGGAGAATACTCCAGTTCTGTATAAGAGTTAACACAATGTGTTGCTTTTGTCTCTCTTTTGGTATTGTCCCAGCCCCCCAACAGCCTCTTCGCCCTCCAAGTCTGTCCCAGGCCCTACCCCTTATCTCACCGCAATGTACAGGACTATGAGCAGCTGGTAGTTTTATCTGCGTGTTGCTGTCAGAGCCTCGGCTGCCCCTCTGTGCTGTGATAGAAAGCTCCTCGTCACCCAATCTCCCTGAGGATTGATCTTAGGGCTCCTGCCAGCCTCTCCCTGCCCCTCACTGTACCCAGCAGGCATCACACCTCTCTGTTAGAAGGGCTGGGAGCAGGTGTCCTTTCTGCTCCCAACAGAACAGGTAAGAGGTGGTCAGGGAGCTGTCAGAGAAGCTGCTGCTGTGCAGAAGCAAAGAAAACAACCTTATCTCCGAGGGCAGAGGTGGCTGAGGGTGGTCCTCCTGATTACCCTGGGTACCCACTTAGCCTTGGGGAACTACAGTGTCCCCAAGAAGGTGGAAATTGATGTTTTGTGGGATTTTTCTTTTAAATTAAGGCTTAAGTGAAGGTGCAAAATCCAGATGGCAGGGTTTGGAGCAATGGGGAGGAGGCAATCCTGGTTGAAATAATTTTGACCTGTTGAAGATTTACAGTTTTCTCCATTCCTTGTGTGTGATTTGCTTTCCCTATATGCACCACACACTTCTGCAACCTTCTGTCAATAGATGCAACCACACTGTATAATTAACAGTGCTCTCCACCCACACATGAGCCTTTTAGGCCCAAAATATAGACCGTCCTATTGACATCGCTTTTGTGCACTTGTGTGCATATGTACGTTACACTTAATAGGCTATGTATAAATAGACTGAGCATAGTTCAGTGGTTAGCCCACAGGCTGGGGAGTCAGGAGTTCTAGGTTCTTTCCCAGCCGTATGAGTGACTTGATGAGTAATCTTGGGCAAGTCACTCATCCTCTTTGTACCTCGGTTTCTCCCATCTGTAAAATGGGGATAATACTTACCTGCCCGTTGGGAGGTAGAAAGCAGGGGAGGCTGTGAGGGTTAATCAGTATTTGCAAAGTGCTTTGAGATCTTTGGAGGAAAGCACTACTGTAAGTGGAAAGTATTAGTATTAATAGACAGTGATAGGCCAATGGAGAAATTCAATAGCCCTGGGACAGACAAGGTAACACTGAAGCTATAGACCTCTAGAGTGGCGTCATGGCACACTGCTGACATTTTTAGAACAAAAGCTGTAGCAACAACCACAGTATTTTGATTTTTAATGTAGCCCTGTTCATTAGTCAGTTGCGTTTCTCCAATCTCTTGACCACATGTAAATGCAAAACAGGAACCAGATATCTGTGACCAATGCCTGTAATTTTTCAACTTTAGTAAACAGTCTACATATGTCAACAGGATACAGGTCTGCCCAGAAAATTCTGCCCTGATTACTTAAACAAATCTAAATATGATGGCATTTAAAGGTGGGTTTACTGTGTTTCACTTCTCTTTCTCTTTCAATTGCAGTTATAAAACGCTCCCTACAATGGAGAACAATAAAGTTAAAATGGCCAATCTATTGCCATTAAATAGAAAAAAAATGAGGACACTACTTTGAATTATTCATAGTATCTCCTTTTATTTATCTTTTCTGCACTCATTCTTTATCAGAACGATGTTAAATACCAGGGTGCTACTTCCCTTTTAAATCAGCTAGGCAAGAAAAAGCAAAGCATGAGGGTTATTTGCAATCACTTGTGCTCAGAAAGGGTTGTCCATTTGTTGAGCTAATCACCTGGAGACTAATCTTGCTCACATCATAGTCAGTGGATACGGAGATTAACAGGATTGGGGCCCTAATGTAATGGTAATTAGCAAAAGTCAAAAGGCATCCGTCATAGCAGTTCTGATGCTTTATTTACTGAATCATCTTTTTGATTTAAAGGGACATTTAAAATGTCAACTAGAAAATCGTATTTCTGTCTGATGTTTTTTAAATCTGTTGAAATGACAACGCTTAGAGGTTAGTGTTTTCCTCAGGGCGTCTACTCTGTGCCTTTGACAGCCCATTTTGTAAGTCAAGGTCACTGTTTTGCTGATGTTTAGTCTCGCTTCCTGTCTCATCCACCAGCAAGATGACATCATGCTCACTCGGGGCTGAGAAGGGAGTTCACAAGCTTGCTCTTCCACTGGCCTAGCAAGACCTCCCCCCCACTAGAACTATTAGACAAAAGTTTCCCTGCAAGGCAGCAATGGTGGGAGTACTAATGTAGGCAGGGTGTTGGTGGCCACCTGCATTTCCACCCCCACGTCATCTAGACCTGCTCTGAGCCAAGGGGCTAGAAATGCCTGCAGCCCTGGGAAGCTCGACCACACTAACTCTCCAACAGGCGGAGAGGAACTGGTGGCAGCAATCGTGGAGAATCTCTCACAAAAGTCTAGTGTAAACACAGCCCAAGTGGAGGTTTTTGCCAGTAACAAAGCAGCAGAGCTGCTACTATTTCTGAGCTTAGGATCAGGAAGGTGACTCCTTCTCTTGAGACCGTTGCATGGAGCAACAGGAGCCAGGGAAGGTGGTGACTGGGAGAACCCCCTTCTTTACTTCCCAGACCTCTGCTTGTGGCTGGAGAGCAGTGGAGACAGGGTGGAGCAGGGAGCCTTCTTTATTCCTGGATGGGGAGAGGAAGCAATTAAAATTTGGGGGTGGTGGGGGAGATGAGGAGACCCGCTCTTCTTCCCCCAGCCTCCTGCAAAGGGAGCAACCGGCGTGTGGGGCTGGGGCAGCGCAAGACAAATGTTTCCACTCTCTAAGACTGTGAAGATCCTAGGAGGAACTCAGAGCTGGTCTACACTGAAAACGTACACTGAAAAATCCACACCCCCTGAGAGACGCAGCTTAACCCCCGGTGTAGACAGCGCTCAGTTGATGGAAGAATTCTTCTGTCAACCTAGTTGCCACCTCTCAGGGAGGTGGATTCACTACAGCAGTGGGAGAACCCCTCCCGTCACTGTGGTGTCTACAGTGACAAACTGTAGCATTTTAGGTGTAGACATGCCTTCAGTGATGGTGGTGCTGCTGTTGATCAGGCAAGCACAAGTTGTGCTGGGGAAGGTGGGGGCCTGAGGAACATCTGCTAGGGTTGCTCTTTGGCCCCATCTATTTTTGCCTCCCTGAAAAGACCCTTCGGGACATCAGCAGGGGAGCAGAGAAACCCCCGACACATTTTTTTAAATTAAAAAAAAATTCAGGGCATATTATTTAATGGGCGATCTCTCGGAACCTGGGATTTACTCTTCAATTTGACAGTGTCCCTTTAAATTACAGTGATTCTTGCATGGTTAAAACAGAGCTGAAGCCAGGTAGGAGAGGAAGCCCATATGAAAGTACTGCTGTAAAACAAACAGCAGTTTCAGAATAATGGGTCAGATGGTGGTAAATAAGAAAGTGTTATTTACTTCTTCATAACAGACCAACTCGGGGTCACCAAATGAAATGAATAGGCAGCAGGTTAAAAACAAATAAAAGGAAGTATTTCTTCACACAACGCACAGTCAACCTGTGGAACTCTTTGCCAGAGGATGTTGTGACGGCCAAGACTATAACAGGGTTCAAAAAAGAACTAGATACATTTATAGATAGGTCCATCAATGGCTATTAGCCAGGATGGGCAGGGATGGTGGCCCTAGCCTCTGTTTGCCAGAAGCTGGGAATGGGTGACAGGGGATGGATCACTTGATGATAACCTGTCTGTTCATTCCTCTGGGGCACCTGGCACTTGCCACTGTCAGAGGACAGGATACTGGGCTAGATGGACCTTTAGTCGGACCCAATATGGCCGTTCTTTATGTTTTTATGTACTCCATGGGTGTAACTGAGATCAGAATCAGTCCCACTGCAGACATTTTTTTAATGTCTCATGAAACACTGTCAAATAAAGTTCAAAGACTGTATGGCTTCCTCCACCCAGATCCTGGCTGTAGTCCGAAGGGACGTTTAATTTGATGGCCTCATCACCAAACCACCACAAAAGTGACAGAACTGGATCAGCACAGGATGTGTTACTCTCACAGGTCCATCTGCACCTCCCCGATTCAGAAGCCCCATTTATATCCTTCTCTTATGCCACTACCAGTGCCTAGAGTTCTCTCCCTCTCCTTGTGAGCCAGTTGGTCACCTTCTGTCCATTTAAATCTCCCTTCAAACTCACTTCCTTTGGTAAGGCCTTACATACGTGATGGGCCTGGATTTTCAGAGGTGGTGAGCACCAGCAGTTCCCACCAGCTTTAACTGGCATTGTCTGCACTCAGCACTTCAGAACACTAGTCCCTAAACACCAATTTTTGTATCTCATAGGTCCAAGCTGTATTGTCTGCGCCTGATTTAAATCATTAGCTGCTTACCAAGCATTCTCACCAAGTAAATAAACAATGATAAGGGCAGGAAGAATGGTCTAATGGATAGGGCCCTGGACTGGCACTCATGAGACTCAGGTTTAATTCCTGGGTGAGCCACAGACTCCCTGTGTGACTTGGGCAAGTCATTTAATCTACTCTGTGCCTCAGTTCCCCATCCACAATATAAATTGGGGTATACAATATAAATGTAGGGATAAATACTTCCCTACATCACAAAAGTGTTGTGGGAATAAACTCCACTCATGACTATTAGGTGCTCAAATTCTGTGGTGCTGAGGGCCATATATGCTACCTTTGATTATCCTCCTTAAAAGTCTCCTTTGTTATGATACCTACAAAAAAAACTGGACATTGGTTAGGCTGCTGGTGCGCTCCCTGAGACCGCTGCTTGTCCTACTGTATTGTCTCATTCTTTCCTTGTGCTCATCGGTCTGTCTGTATCTGGATATTATCTAGTGTTTTATACTCAGATTGTAAGCTCTTGAGGGCAAGGATCTCTCTTTGTTTTGTGTTTGTCCAGTGTCTATCACAAGGGGGGCCTGGCCCTTAACTGGGGCTCCCCCATGCTACCACAATACAAATATAAAATAACTGCACAGTACCTTACATGCCTCTTGTGTCTGTAGTTTCTGCGGATGGTGGATGCTTGTGCCAGTTTCCTCACCGAAGCCCTCCATCCGGAAAACTGTGTTGGGATTCTGAGGCTGGCCGACACTCATTCTCTGGAGAATCTGAAGCAGCAAGTCCAGAGCTACATTATCCAGAACTTCGCTCAAGTGCTGCACTGTGAGGAATTTCTGGAGATCCCCAGTGACGTTCTCTACAACACGCTAAAGAGCGATGACCTCTATGTCACTGAAGAGGCACAGGTTTTTGAGACTGTTATGAACTGGGTTCGATACAAAGAGTCTGAACGGTTTCCTCTCCTACCCTACGTTCTTGAGAATGTCCGGCTACCGCTTCTGGACCCTTGGTATTTTGTAGAGACAGTTGAAGCCGATCAACTCATTAGACAGTGTCCTGATGTCTTCCCTCTGCTTCAAGAAGCAAGAATGTACCATCTGTCAGGCAATGAGGTAAGTAACAAATGAAAATACTTAGTAAACGGGAGTTGGGGGGAACTGAACCAATTCTAATTAAGGAATATTTCAGATTGGCAATCACAGAACTCAGTATGGATTTTGGAGGTGGAAAAAGATATTTACAAGATAGGTTCACAAATTACTACTTCTGAACTATAAGATAATCACGATCAGTTACCGTGGAGATTTAATTGTGAAATCTGAGAGGTTTCCAGACAGCTTATTTTAACATAAAAGCATTTCAGAAAATGTTCATGAATCTCTGAAAGGAGAGAGAACCTCTCACACACAATTCTGTCCGATACCAAACTAAGGTTAATCAATATTCCTTGATGTGTTCCCTAGTAAAAAGGCAAATCAAAGGTATTACTTTGGACATTGGTTTCTTATTTAATATTGGTATCCCAATTAAAATAGTCATCTATAACATCAAATATTGCTAAGCATTCCAATGGATCACTTAGGGTAAGCAGTACCATACTTACATAAACAGTTATCTATGTCTACTTTCCCTGCTAAAATTTACTCTCTTTATAGTTGTACTGTTGAGCCTAAAGGTTCAATTGCCAATAAAATTGTTATGGGTTTGATGCAGCAGTTCCTGGGTGAAATGATCTAGTCTGGGTTATGCAGTAGGTCAGACTAGATGATAATAATGGTCCCCTCTGGCCTTAGAATGTAGGAGCTATTAAAATATAAGAGAGGAGGAACAGCCTGACTGGAAATACGTATGAGCTAGGTTTGTTAAAGCATTCCCTGTGTTCTTGAGAATGACCGTCTGCCGATGCCTTCGCTCATACCCTCTATCCAGACGGAACCTCTTGAGTATGTTATTCTTCACATCCCCTCCTAAATAACTGTTGTGTGATGTTATGGATGCAGGCTGACACGTGTGCTCCACCTCAAAGATGGCTTTGCTTAGTGTTGGGTGACGTGATTCCCTTTCGAAGCATGCTGTACTCTGCCTGTATACTTGGGATGGGGGCTGTATAAATCAAGTATGATTCTGGTAACTTTTTAAAAACCTGCTGCTGTCCATGTATGTATTGTATATCCTTGTACTGATTAGAGTGTGTAGCACATCAGCTCAAGCAGTGCTAGCTGTCTTTATAGTACAAAAAAGGCTCAAGTGTAGGGCCGCTATTCAAATTTGCTCTGAAATGATCCTGCGCAGGGCCAGCTAGACAGAGGCACTCAAGAATTTCAGTGTGGGTGTGAGAAGATGCAGTGTCTACCTTTATTAGTTACCAGGGAACCTTTTAAGGAAAGGAAAAACCAGCTCTGAAAAACACAGGTTTGATCTCAGGGACAGAATCCTAAACAGAAGTCTGTATAGCCTATTCATTAGCACAGGATGTGACATACGCTTGTGCCTAACCTGCAAGCCACAGTCCCATACCCTGTTCCAGCCATGATCCCACCTCAGCCCAGGTGTAACAGGCAAAGGTGGAAAAGGAATTTCCTAATTGATCCCTCCCCAACTTGGAAAGTTACGCTTCAGTCCTATTTCCTGGCCCACAAAAAGGGGTCATCAGCTGTCAAAATTTCACAGTCGAGAATGAGAGAGACAGTGTGCTTGTGATTCCCCACAGCCTGAGGAGTGTCAGGAGAGGGCAGCAGGCTGTCAGAGGTCTGTCACAGGTGCAAAGATATTGGTGGAACCCTGTGTTTGGAGGGGAAGGGGCTAGATAGGCTCCCTGGCTAGGAGCCTGCATAGGGCATTGCAAAACACAGGCAGGCCCTGACTATAAATGTGATTAGCAATTCAGGCCAGCCAGCAGGTGACCCAATGGCAGTGCCTTGTACTGCCTTGCTAGAGATCTGGGTTCAGTCTTCAGTCCCAGTGTCTGGCTGTCTGAGCCAGCAGTCGATGGCAGTGCTGTTGGGCCAGTGGGGTTGTGCAAAGAGAGTGGCACCCATCGCTCAACAGGTATTTCCCTGGACGCTGAAGGGGCAGAATGTGTGTGCTCTTGAAAGTCCCGTCCAATGCTGATGGCTAAGATGAAGGACTGCGAGGCTGGCAGAGGGGTTAATAGGGATTATGAGGCATCCGCAGAGCTCTGACTCAGATGCTGAGACTTGCTGACAGTTTAGTAAATTATACTGAGCAAACACAGAAAGGAATTTTACATCTGCATGACCCTGCTTTTTAATTTAGATTGTTTATGCCAGTTTATAGAAACACACCGTAAATTAGTTTTAAAAGTCCAAGAAAAACATCGAGTGTTGTTTGACAGGGCAGAAATTTCAAATAAATGATAAATTCCTGTATGCTATAAAAAGCTTTCCTTGAAATTTCCACTGCATTCATTCCAATATGACTAATGGTGTATCTACTAGGAGCAAAGGAAGTCATGCCATCTGCACTTCAGTGAGACGCAGCTTATCAATAACACTTCTCAACTTAGAATCGTGACTAACTCCCCTTGTAAATATTCTCCTAGGAACAGCAGAGAGCTTTGACACTTTTATCGTTGACACAGGAACAGTTTACTAGAACCAGGATCACTCTGCAACTGCAACACAGCATTTTAGATTTGTGCACTGGCTGTAGAGAAGCAGAGTGGTTAGTGCTCTAGCCTAGGACTTGGGAGCCTTGGGTTCGATTCCCCGAACTGCAGCATACTTCCTGCGTGACCTTGGGCAAGTCATTTGGTCTCTCTGTGCCCCAGTTCTCCACCTGTAAAATAAGAATAATAGTACACCCCTACCTCACAGAAGCGTTGAGAGAACAGATCCATTAAAGACTGGGAGGTGCTCAGGTATCACAGCAATAGGGGCCATATAAATACCTAAGATAGGCACTGACTAATTTTTTCAGGTGGGTGGTCCACCTCTGCTCTGCCCTGATGTCCTGCCCCCACTCCACCCCAGGCCCCACCTTCTCTTCACCACTTCCTGACCCTGCTCTGTCCCCTCCCCTGAGGCCCCACCCACACGCCACCTCTTCCTGCCCTCTCCCCCCAAATCCTGCCAGTCCCTGAACAGCTGATAGGTGAGTCGCCAAACCGCTGTGGCTGGTGGGTGCTGAGCACCAACAAATTTTTTGCATGGGTGCTCCAGCTCCGGAGCACCCCCGGAGTCAGCACCTATGGATAGAGCGCTGTGCTCCTGGGGCTGGCTAATACCGTGTGAGAGGAAGCTCTTTTCAATGTGCTATAGGCAAAATCTGGCCAAAGAACTGAACCAATGGGAGCTAAATTCGTGAGCTCCTCATGCCACAGGGTATAATGCTGTTTTTAACCACACATGTGACACACCCTGAGTATTCATTCTATATTGCTTGTGTCTAGATTATTTCAGAAAGAACCAAGCCCCGGATGCATGAGTTCCAGTCCGAGGTGTTTATGATCATAGGTGGTTGCACAAAAGATGAAAAATTTGTCGCAGAAGTAACTTGCCTGGATCCTTTGAGGCGGAGCCGTTTGGAGGTGGCAAAATTACCAATCACAGAACAGGAAATGGAGAGCGAGAATAAAAAATGGGTGGAGTTTGCATGTATTACGCTAAAAAATGAAGTCTACATATCAGGTAAGGAGCAAGATAATGCCAATGGAACTAAGAGAAGAGAACACAGGAGTCTCATAAACAAGGGAGGGGAAATAGGTACAGCTTTTATGAAGACCAGCAGCTCTCAACCTGTCCAGACGACTGTACTCCTTTCAGGAGGCTGATTTGTCTTGTGTACCCCAAATTTCACCTCACTTAAAATATTATTTGCTTACAAAATCAGATATACAAATACAAAAGTGTCATAGCCACACTGTTACTGAAAAATTTCTCATTTTTACCATATTGGTATAAAATACATCAACTGGAATATAAACGTACTTACATTTCAGTGTATAGTATATAGAGCAGTATAAACAAGTAATTATCTGTATAAAATTTTTGTTTTTACTGCCTTCACTAGTGCTTTTTATGTAGCCTGTTGTAAAACTAGGCAAATATTGAGACGAGTTAACGTAGCCCCTGGAAGACCTCTGCGTACCCCCAGGGGTACATGTGCCCTTGGTTGAGAACCAGGGATGCAGAACATATACTATGCTTTGTAAATTGACATAAACAGCTAGCGTTAGAGCATTTCAGGGATTGCCTTTGAAAGGGGCTCCTCACATACATTGCCATGGTTGAGGGACAGGCTACTGAGAAGCACTGGGCTGAGTAGTGGCAGTGCTGAGCCTCTTAGAATATTAACATGGGTTCAGTTTTCAAACAAATGCAAAACTATATTTGACTGGATTGGTGTGCATGCCCAGTGTTGTCATACCAAAGTGTCAGGAATGATAGTTACAGAAAGGCCTCTTACAGCTGCATATGCAGCATACAATCAACAGTAGCTACCGCAAAGCTCTTCTGGAAGACCCCCAAGAGGAGTTCTGCATGAATAAGCAACAGTTGATAGTTTGCAAACAGTAATGGTAATTGTGTTGCTTGGGATTGAAAATCCTATTTTCAGGAGCACTTCAATAGTGCAGAAGGTGAGACTCTAAAAAACAATCGTTTACTGAAAGCAAAGTTAATTGGCATTACCGCCGTGAGGCCCAAGAGTCCTTGAACAAGGCAGCAGTGTGAATGTGTGATTGTGGATCACAGTTTGAATGGATTCAGAAGAGAAATGTAACTTCTATAAATACCTGCTCCATACTAACCCCTATGAAGACAAGGAAGACTCTGGCTTGCTTAGGGGATTGGCAATGGAATACAGAACCTTGTATTTCAAACTCACAGGTTCAAAGGCAGGTCAGCTTGGTAGTGACTCGTTACCGGCTGGCAGCTATTTTGATGACCTATTGGAAATGAATTTGGTGATCTCATTCCATTTCCTAGGGGAAAGGTGCCCACTGGCTCAAAGCCACCCTCACAACGGCCACATCCTAGTTGCCAGTCCAAGTGGAGAGGTTACCGAGTGAATGGAGGCTACAGGTTTCCACAACGTGAGATGAAGGGTGGGGCTGTGCGGGGAAAGTTGAGCAGCCAATGCCAATACTGTCCTGGTGCTGTGGGTAGGAGACATCATTCTGCAGAGTTCTCAATCAGGCAGCTTTCCCAAACACAACCTTTACTTCAAAAATGAGTGAAGTAGAATGGGGGGAGAGAGTGGGGGAGGGTTGGGGTGTCAAATGGGAACATTCTGCCTAGAAGATGATGCTGGTCTAAAATATCTCCCATTGCAGTCTGCATTTAGGACTACCTGGATTTTAACAAGCTCGCTCCAACTAAGGGCTTGGCTACACTTGCAGATGTAGAGTGCCGGGAGTTAAACCAGCCTTCGGAGACCGCAGCAGGGAAAACGCTGCCGTGTGTTTACACTGTCAGCTGCAAGCGCACTGGCGTGGCCACATTAGCAGCTCTTGTAACGCCACAGAGAGCAGTGCATTGTGGTAGCTATCCCAGTGTGCAAGTGGCTGCAGCGTGCTTTTCAAATGGGGGGGGGTGGAGTGTGACAGGGAGTGTTGTGTGTGTGTGTGGGGAAAGACAGTGTGTTTTGGGGGACAGAGAGTGTATCAGCATCCGGTCTTGTAAATTCAGACAGCAGCAGACCCCCCTCCCCCCGCCTTTCTCTCTCACACACACTCACAGCAGCAGCATTCCACAGTAATGGTTTGCTTTGTCCCAGAGCAGATAAGCATGACGGCTGTCAGAAGCAGAGCTTTGAAAGGGGATATCCGCATGCCTGCAGCCGAGTTCAAAACAATGACCAGAGTGGCCACTTGACTTCAGGGGATTATGGGATGTTTCCAGAGGCCAATCACAGCGCAGTAGTGCAACATGTCATCCATACTGACACCTGGGCATTTCAGCCAGGGCACAGCAAGCTTTATGCTTCTTGTGTAGGTGGATTACCAGGAGCGCTCCAGCTGCAGAGTCTAGGCGCTCAAAGTGCCTTGCAGTGTGGACACTTCAGGAGTTAGGGCACCCAGGCCTGCTTTAATGCTCTCTAACTTGCAAATGTAGCCAAGCCCTTAGTCTTTATTAAATCTCCTTGTTCTGGGGCCAGGGTTCATTCTCCTTCACTCCCCATTAGTTTAAGGAAAGGAAGTTCTCTTTTCATCCTACCATTACATTCTGCTCTTTATTTCTTCAGAGCTTCTCCCTTTGTTCAGTAGTCCTTAGCGGGGGCATCAACGCCAACATTCCAACTGGGAATGTTTAACAAACATGTCCCCCCAATTCTTTGCACCTGTTGCACTCAAAGAGCTCATTACTGGCTGCCTTTAATCTCTCAGTCTGTCCCCTTAGCCCCAGGCCTTTTGCCTCCCATCATCTCTGGCTTCTTCTCTCATTCTTTCTATCTCCTAAACTGAACTTTCTCTAGACATGCCTATAGATGCCCTACTATGAAAGAACTGCTTACTTTGATCAGACTGGCACTCTAACTAGCATCCTTCCTCCCCTTCATCTACTCACTTCCTTGACCTCTTCACCTCCTTGATCCCCTCAAATCTGCTTTTCACCCTTTCTACTCCAACCAGGCTGCACTGGCCAAGGTTATTAATTGTTTCCTCCTAGCTAAATCAAAGGGGGGCACTTATCTATGCTTATTCTTCCTGATCAGCCTGCTGTCTCTGACACCGTTTATCACTTTCTACTTCTCTATATTCTTCCTTCTCTTGGCTTCTGTGACTTGGTTCTTTTCTACCTTGCTATCCACTTCTTCAGTATCTCTGCATCCTCATCCCTCTACCTGCTGGTTTCCCTCAGGGCACGGTTGGAGGTCTCAATCTCCACATTTACTGCAGTTACTGCTCTTAATGAAGAGAGAATATCAATGCACCATTTCCCATAAAGTTTAGAACAAGGCGTTTAAATACCTACAGTTCTCTCAAAAATCTCACCCTCCCCCATGATGTAGACAGAATTCAAAAGCATGGTTTAGTTCAGATTCCTGTCAGGGCTGTTTTCTAATGCAGGAGAGAACAAACTGTAATGTAAATGGGAAGGTTGCGACAATGTGTGGTTGGAACACCTGCTGTCTCTGAAGACTACTGCAGATAAGAATTCTGGCATTCCGCATTCATACACTTCACCTGCTTGAGCGCAAAAAAAACAACATAGATATATGAAAAATTCATAGACACAAAGGCATTACCAACGAATCTTTCTAGCATGCTAATTATCTCCTATTCAATCTGTTATTTGGCCCAGAGATGAGTTCCATCAATTTGCAGTGATCTGGCTGTGGTACAGCATACAAATGAGTGCAGACAATTCTGTAATAGAATATGAATCCTCCTTGTGAAATGATTGCATAGCTGGACTGTAGGTTATGCAGTGAAGCTTCTCAGACTGTGCAATGGGTTTCACACTCAACTAGTTCTGTTTGTATTCCGGTTATGATAAAAATGACACGGAAACTAACGTACTGGCGAAAATGCTGCTAGGCTTTTTGAATGAGTGAGACTCATTTGCAAACCTACTCTGGGGATTAAACTACTGGGCTTGATTCTGATCTCCTGGTGTAAATAAGGAGCAATTTCACCGAAATCATTCTACGCCTAATACTACTGAAGCCAGGGCTCTGAGACCCTCCCCTCTTGCCAGGTGTCAGAGCCCGGGCTATGTCTACGCTCCTATTTGTAGTCCTGAAGTGCAAGTCCGAGTTACTTGACCTGAGCTCTGAGGCTCGCTGCTGCGAGTTATTTATTTTTTTTGCAGCGTAGCCAGCCCCAGAGTCAGATGAAGAGACGTGAGATCACAGCCAGGCCCCTTCATGTTCAAGAAACAATGGACCCAATGCTGAATTTTTCACTCTGGAAAAACTTCCTGGAAGACTTCAGTGAGAGAATTTCATGGAGTACAGGATCAGGCCCCCTGTTCGTATTTTGGAAGTCAGTGGACCAGCTGGCTAGATCATCCCTATGTAATAGCAGCTCCACCAGTGCAAATCTGGTTTACCTGTCCCCAGCAGGACCTTCTTGGCCCAGGGGGATTCTCAAGTGGCTGACTATGTGATGCAGAGCTTTAGTTTTTTAATTGATATCATGTTTGTTTATTCACCAATTCTTAACAAAAACAAGGCTGAGAGGGGATATGATTGTTCTCTATAAATACGTTAAGGGGTAAATAGCAGGGAAGGTGAAGAGTTATTTAAGCCAAAGGAAAGTGTTGGCACAAGAGCAAATGAGTATAAACTTGCCATCAACAAATTCAGGGTAAAAATTAGAGGAAGTTTTCTAACCATCAGGGGGGTGAGATTCTGGAATAGCCTCCAAGTGGGAGTTGTAGGGGTAAACAACTTAATTAGTTTTAAGAGAGCTGGACACATTTATGAATGCAATTGTATGACAGAGTTGCTTGAGATGGTGATGGTGGTGGTGCAGGGGGACTCGCTTCTGGTTTATGTCTTATGTTCCTAAAGCTAATGCTTCAGGGTTTCAGCTGGCCCCTTGAAAGTGGTCAGGAAAGGCTCCCCCTCTTCCCATTTATTATGCTTTCTTTGTTTTCCTCAAATTTCCTTCCTCTGAAGCATCAGTGATGGCCATGGCTGGAGATGGGACATAGGATGGTGAAGGCCAGGTTTCTGAGCTGGTACTGACCATTCTCTCTCTCAGGTGCTTGGCTGGCTGGTTCTTGATCACATGCTCAGGGTCTAACTCATTGCCATATTTAGGGTGGGGAAGGGACTTTCCTCCAGATCAGATTGGCAGTGACGTTGTGGGTTTTTTGCCTTCTTCTGCAACGTGTGGGTGTGGGCCACTTGCCAGGATTATTTGGCTATGGTTTACTTAATACATTTCCTGCCACTGAGGGGGCCTCAGCAGTGGTGCACATTGGTCCCTATTCTCTGCCTGTGGCATAAAATAGTCTAGTCTCTTGTGGGTCTCAGTTGAGTTGTTGGATTTAGTGTGCAGGTGCTCGGGGTGGGGCGGTCTTGCTGGCCTGCAACATACAGGAGGTCAGACTAGATAATCTGGTGGTCCCGTCTGGCTTTAAACTCTATGTCTAACATTCTACAATCAGGAACAAGTCTCATTCCTGAGATTCTTCTGCACATCATTACAAGCCATCGGCCACTGACTATATTAAAGTTACAAATGTGAAAGAAAAGGTGGTAGGACAGCTGAAACATGAATAGTGATTCATGTCTGGGAAAGAGATGACTTGTAAAATAACCCCCAGGAATTTCTCTGCCCTCTCCAAAGTATAGTAATGCAAATTTAACCAGAGGAACTTTAAGCTTGCAAGTTGTCTTCCTTTAAAGCAAGTACTATTCTGCTGAAGATGTGCTTCCAGAGCAAATGCCATGAACCAATGGTTTTTGTTTCTTGTATGACAAATAGAACATACTAGAAGTTCTGAGCAAACACAGGTCATGCCAATTATGTCACTTACATATATTGTGTACCTCGCAGGTGGGAAAGAAACACAACATGATGTCTGGAAATACAATTCCTCCATCAACAAATGGATCCAAATTGAATATTTAAACATCGGGCGATGGAGGCACAAAATGGCTGTGCTAGGCGGCAAAGTGTACGTGGTTGGAGGTTTTGATGGCATACAGAGAATCAACAGCGTAGAAACATACGATCCTTTCCATAACTGCTGGTCAGAGGTAAAATACAGTCACACTTTTCTGTTTCATGCAACACTAATGAAACAAATTGAAATCAGGGAGTTTTATTAGGTATTTATTGTACCTCAAAATAAATGAGCTAAATTCTACTACATACCTCCCCCCGGAATCTAGTAGTTGCGCATTCAAGTTGAAAATGCAGACTTCAAGGGAAGGAGGATCAAAGAAAGAATCAGTTCTGCCATCCTGACTCCTGCTGAACAGTTTCTTATACTACAACCATTTCCTTGAAGCCAATGGGATTACTCACAGAATAAAATAATATTCAGAAGGCATCAAGGTGGCAGAATTAGCCCTACATCTGTGGAAGACACCAAGCAGGTATAAAGGAAACTACTAATCGGTGAGCTCTAGAAGGGTATATGCAGACCAGCATCTCATACATTTCAACACAAGTGTAAAACAGGCTTGGGGATTAGAAATAATCTCAGAGGATAAACATTATATGGGTCAACTAAGGAGATATCGGAACAAGGAGGAGTTGCTGGTAGTGGTGAAACACAGACCCAGGAAATCATTAGCAGGAAGGTGCATTACAGCTGCACTGTCCAGTGTAAGTTTAGGAGAGAGACCAGAAGAATCCAGTTGTTTTTATGTATGACTTGCTGGGGACCTCAGTATTTGACTACGTGGAAAATTACTAGTGCTTTGCATTTTTATTGTGCTTTCATCTGAGAATCTCAAAGCACTTTACAAATGTAAAGGACCTGATTGTGTTAAAGCCATGGCTTGTGCTGGAGAGGGGAAAGGAGCATATTGCATTGTAGAGGGAGCCACCTGGAAGAATTCTGGCTGACTCATTTAGAATTCCTCTTGAGCTTCCGAGGGAGCACACATTGTAGCCACAGCTCTGCCACCGTTTCAACGGATGCTGGATATGCATCCCCTACAGCAGCCCAAATCTGCTGAGTGGGCACCAAGCCCTCTTTTGAGTCAGGGTCAGGGCCTTTGCTCTCCTATGGGCTTGTGCCTGACCCTTGCAGAGAGATGCAAAGGTGGAGGAAGCCTCCTTGCACTCTCCTCTACTGCCTGTCCCCCATTTTTGCACCCACACAGGATGGATAGCACGGAGTTTTGGTTAAACATTGAGATGGTGGTAAGAGTCCAAAGAGACAAGGAAGGCCAGCGGGTTCAGCTGAATAGAAAGGGAGTCAGATCTGTGGCTACTTAGGAAAGCAGAGACGGATAATGGGACAGGACTAAAATTTTCAAGGTGATAAAGATGAGGGTGGACATAACCCAGGGTAAAGCCAAAGCACTCAGAAGACAAAAGGGAAAAGAAGCAGAAGATAAAGCAAATTTGTGCTGGGCCTTTCAACCCAGAACATGTGCAGCACACGCTGCTCTGACCAAGTCCAAGCTGAAGCAGAGGAGCTGTGGGACAAGAGCTTTCAAGAAGTCCCCTTAGATAGAGTGACCACTTCACTTATGTAAATGTACGCTGCCCTGTAAGTAGTGGTTGCAACTGACTGTGGGCAGTTGGTAGGATGGGGTTGTATTTTAGGACTGTATCTCAAAGGGCCAGAACAGATGTTAAATTTCCTTGAAAAAGAAACTGCTATAAGTGTCAAGTCCCTTGACGCTCAGAAATGGTCACTTGTTCTACTTTTCTTCTTTCGTGCTACTCCTTAAGGGATGAAAGAAAAATGTTTTCTATTTAAGGAAATCTGTGAGTGCTCCGGTTTTGCTGTTCATACCATTAGTATATTTGAGGAGATGAATTAACAGGCCCAGTAAATCACACCCAACCACTTCCCACACAGATTGGGAACTGGCCATTTGTGTAACCTGGCTCTTTTGCACAGCGAAAACACAGGCAATCAGGTTATTTCATGTGGTAGCTGGCCTCCTGAAACCTGCTGATACTCCACTGTCGGTCAAAGAGAGCTGAGGGTAAGGCTGGGCTAATGGCTTGAAGACCACAGACTAAACTGAACTCAGCATGACAAATTCAAACTTGATGAAATCAAAGCAGTTACCTTGCACCACAGTAGCTTGCATCCATGGGCGGTGGACATTATAGGCTGGTGGAGGCTGTGCCTCCCCAAACAACCAGGCATGGCCCCGCCTACACTTCGCCCCCAGACTCCCCTCCACGGCTCCCCCATGCAGTGGCCCCGGCTCGGGCTGTGCAGCCTGGAGGGGCCAGGGCCGTGCCGCCTGCCCTCCCGGCGATCGGCAGGTGCTAGCCTGGGGCAGGGGCTGGCAGCCGTGGCGGGGGGTTCTGGGCTCCAGTGGGGCCGTGGGTAGAAGGGACAGGGCTGGGGGCTAGCCTCCCCCAGCTGGCAGTTCATGTGCTTCCATGCCGGCATTGCATCATCATCCCAGTGTGACATGGCTCCAGAGGAGCTCTGCTCTCCAGAAATATGTTCCCGTGCTGCTTCCCCATGCAGCTAAGCTCTTCTCCCGCCACCTACTTTCCATTCCCAGGGCATGGGGCAAGTATGACACTGCACTGAGGATGACGACGGAGGATGAAACAGTTTCAACCTCTGAAAACAATTACTTTACACATACTGCACCAGCTTAATAGTCCCTCCAGCTAGGGTCCCAGTGGAGTTCACTCATTTTCTAACAGGTTTAAAAGGAAAACGTTTACTGACGTCAGTTTAAAACAAGAACACAATAATCCACGCAGACAGCTACAGTATTTCTGTTCAAGAGAGCAGAGGAAATTCCCCTGCCATTGCACATGGTACATTATGTAACTGGAGATGCACCTATAAGGCACTTTTTACAAACTGCACCTCTCCAAGTCAGCATGGGCCACAGCTCCCCAGGGGGAGGGCAGGTAATGTGTCCACTATTGCCGTCTCAGGGGTTCCCCTTTCAGAGAGTGCATCTACACGGGGAGCTGGATGCTGATACATCCCAGGAAATCAACTGGGCTAAGGGTGGGTCCAGCCGCTACAGTAGGGATGCGCCAGATCAGTGCATCTCCAGCTGCTTAGCCATGCTCCTCTGCTCCCTCCACACCACAATGGGGCAGCATGTCCACGCACCATTGCAATGCAATCCCAAATGCTGAAGCTGCACGTTATAGACTTTGGCACCCTAACTTTTCATATCTGAACAAAGTGTACCCTTTGCAAAAGGGACACCATCCAGGTTGACGGGCCTAAAATCAGATCTTTCTCTTTTGTGTTAGGTTTTAGGCAAAGCATGTGCTCATCAGGACGCCCCTCCCATTCTGTTTGCTCCCTCTCCATTCCTGCTAACACACAAGGTCTTGGCACCGCAATTCCGCTCCCCAGGGTGATACTGTTTTAAAGTTAGTAGCTTCTTGATACACTGGGAAGGAATGGAATGTTTCAGACCCAGTCTGGACCCCAGCCAGAGCTAGTGGCCCAAAAGTCAGACTTCCAGGGAGTGCCCTAGTTGGAGCTCCCTATTGCCCCTCTTCTCTCTGACAGCAGTACAGACACGCAGCTCAGTGGTGTGAGTTCCTCTCAGGACGAATGCATGGCAGCTTCTAGGAACACCAATGCATGGTGGGCTCCGAGAGAATACAGAGCAATGCATGACTATCTACATTCAAAAGAAAAGAAATCACCAGCCTATAGGACATGAAATCCAAATGACTATTCAGTGGATTGTTAATTATTTGTTTTTTAATGGTGACCCAGGCAGCTCCCCTCATGGTCAATGTGAGCTCATTTGCTGCAGCCAGCTACAAGAAGAAGCTCTATGTGATTGGGGGAGGACCCAATGGAAAACTAGCTACAGACAAAACGCAATGTTATGACCCAGCTACGAACAACTGGAGCTTGAAATCACCCATGCCAGTTGAAGCAAAATGCATCAATGCTGTGAGTTTCCGTGACCACATCTATGTTGTGGGTAGGTAAACCAGTGATGTTCTTTTTTCTCTAGACTGAGTTCAGCTTATTTTTGACTAATTCCTGGAACCCTACAGAGAAGCATAAGCAAATGATCATTACCCTGTGCTCTTCTTTAAGATTCTAGATGGGAGATGGGAACCCAGAACACTCAGACACTGTTACTCCTACTCTAGTCTACAGTTCAATATAGATGCAGACAGTTGGTTATAGGAAATGTATTGCGCAGGAGGTGCATATTGGGCTGTGAATTTTGCTATGGACTTCAATGGGATCAGAGCCAGGAGGACCCAATGCTCCAGCTTCCATCACAAGATTACATTCCGGGTTGATTACACTAATTAGCAGATTTGCGATGTAAGTTGAAAGAGGATCAGCTAAACTGTATATCATCCTTAAATGTCAGTGGGAACACTCCAAACTCATATTGCAACTTCACTAGCAGCCAAAGAGTTCAGTACGCAGACATCTGGGCATATCTATGGGAAGATGGGTTACCCCAGAGCACTGACCAGTCTCCTGTGACAGCCGTCCCACTGCAGGAGATGAGGAAGCGCTGCTGCATCTAGCTCATTACAGAGATTGCTCCCTTCTGGGCAAAGTCGGTAGAGGATGGGGGAGCTGTCAGTGGAACACAGGGAAGCAGGAGAGTAGGAAAGGGGGATACTTAAAAATAATGTGACTGCTTTTCTGGGCAGTCTCCAGCTACCTCTTCTAGCATGGGTACGCAGAACAGAGCGCTACTGAATCAGCGTGAAATTCGCCCCATACAGAGGCCTAGCACAAAGCCTGCGGCATCACTGAAGCCCTATTTTGTGGTCCTAAGTAGGATTTCAGAGGTGCATATAGAGCCTTGGGCTGTGCCTATGCACCAGTATGCAATTCACCCTCTATGAGTAGGAGGGGTGAGAGAGACAGACAGCGGGTCTCACCAGTTTGTGATGAGTTGACATCTTTGTGCCTCTGAGTTAAAATTCAACGCCAAGTAGCATAGGATCTTGCCCACAAACCAACTGTTTCAACCTGTTATAGCATGCTAATTACATCACAGAAAGTCCCCAAAGTACCACAGGCTCTGAAGTGAAAAGCCATGTGACAGATCAACCCCCCTGCCCTCCCAGGCTTTTGTGGAAAATTGGCTAAATAAGAAAAGCAGCAAGCACTTGCAAAAGAACCTCCCTCCCCCACTAACCTTCCGCAGCACCAATTAAATCAGAAACCCAGTAGAGTTTTTATTTGGGACAGAAATCAGCCAACACTGAGGGATTCGGGAGGCACGTTGTCTGTTAGGCTGATTTTGTCACAACCAAAATCATGTTGTCATACAATAGAACTGTTTATAAATACCTCTCTCACCCTTTTCCCTACATGAAGGGTTCAGGACATTGCAGGACAATAAAACCCAGACTATCAGGTCTACCTACCACTTCCATATAGAGCAGTTCTGGAGAAAGCGCACCATTCCTGAAAACAGCAAGGCAGGACCCCCAGTGCCTTTTAAATGGAATGGTATCATTGTCTTGAGAGGAAATATGGCTCCAGAGCAAGGGCCGGAAAACTTTTTGGCCTGAGGGCCGCATCGGGTTTCTGAAATTGTATGGAAGGCTGGTTAGGGGGAGGCTGTGCCTCCCCAAACAGCCAGCCGTGGCCCAGCCCCCACCCCCTATCCGACCCCCCTGCTTCTCGCCCCCTGACGGCCACCCCCCCCGGGGACCCATGACCTATCCACACCCCCTGCTCTCGGTCCCCTGACCACCCCCAGAACCCCCGCCCCAGACTGCCCCCCACCGCCCAATCCAACTCCCCCACTTCCTGACTGTCCCCGGAACCCCTTCCTCATCCAATCACCCCTTCTCCCTGACCGCCCCCAGGCCCCCACCCCTAACTGCCCCCCACCGCCCCATCCAACACCCCCTCTCCTTCCTGACTGCCCCTCCAGGACCCCTGCCCCCATTCAACCCCCCTGTTCCCCACCCTTTGACTGCCCCGACCCCTATCCACACCTCCGGCCCCTGACCACCTCCGAACTCCCCTGCCTTCTATCCAACCCCCCCTCACTCCCCACTTACTGTGCTGCCTGGAGCATCGGTAGCTGGTGGTGCGCTGCACCAGGACAGACAGCCGCGCCGCCGTGCAGCACAGAGCAGCGGGTCAGGCCGGGCTCTGCAGTGCGCTGCCCCAGGAGCTCACAGCCCTGCCGCCCAGAGCATTGCACTGGCGGTGCAGTGAGCTGAGGCTGTGGGGGAGGGGGACAACAGGGGAGGGGCCAGGGGCTAGCCTCCCGGGCCAGGAGCTCAGGGGCCGGGCAGGACAGTCCTGGAGGCCGGATGTGGCCCGCGGGCTGTAGTGTGCCCACCTCTGCTCCAGGGCCTGCCTTGGATACTTGGAGATTAGTTGTCAGAATCCTTTCAAAAAGGGGTTGAAAAATGAGAAAGGGTTCAGAAAAGAGCTACAGGAATGATTAGCGGTTTGGAAAACCTGCCTTACATTGACAGTCTACAGCAGCTCAATCTGTTTTGTTTCTTCGAGAGACGATTAAGAGGTGACTTGATCATGGTCTATCAAATACCTATATGAAGGAAGAGTACGATATGTACACAAGAGTATGATAGTACACAAGTCGTTAATTTAGCAGAAAAAGATGTAACAAGATCCAGTGGTTGGAAGCTGAAGTTAGAGAAATTCTGACTAGAAATAAGACCAAAAAAAAAAAAAAAATGTACAGCGTGGCTAATTAACCATTAGTAAAACTTTCCTAGGGACATGGTAGATTGTCTCACTGGCCTGTGTTATGCAAAAGGTCAGACTGGATGATCACAATGGTCCCATAAAATTGATGGAGCTATGAAAAATAAGTGGCCCTTTGTAGGTCTTTCAGAGCAGTCTTGTTTTGCCCTGTAGTCTTGTTTTGACTTTACCTTGGGGGTAAAGTGTTCTCATAAGTGTCAGTGATGGAACTCTGTTGAAATGTCTAATTTGGATAGGAACTAGAGGAACTAATGGCAGGAGCAAACCAATTTCTGTTTCTGTTGCAGGTGGAGCAATGAAAGCACTGTACTCGTACAGCCCCCTTCAGGACACATGGTGCCTAGTGACTCAGTTCACTCATGAGAGAGCAAGTTGCGGGATTTCCCCTTGCAACAACAAGTTGTTCATCACAGGGGGCCGGGATGAGAAGAACGAAGTCATCGCCACGGTGCTGTGCTGGGACCCCGAGATCCAGAGGTTAACAGAGGAGTGCGTCCTACCTCGTGGGGTGTCCCATCATGGCAGCGTCACCCTGAGGAAGTCCTACACACACATCCGCAGGATAGTGCCTGGAGCAGTTTCTGTCTGACTTTGGGAGAGAAAAGAGAACCACAGATGATATCCAAATACCTCAGTTCCCCTAAGGAGACAATGGCTGAATAAACTGCATTGAAAAGATAATTTTAAATGCAAAGAGTGTTGGGTGGAACTACTGCTACTAGGGTCCTTTCAGGAAATAGCTGTATATGTCCTCGGCCTCCTTGAAATCAGGAGGAAATCTCATTTCCTCTGTACAGGACATGCCTTAAATTATCTTAATTCCTTCCCCACCCAAAAAATGATGGGATAATCTGGTGTTTACTCTTAATGTACAGAACCTCCAGGCATACACGGAAACATGATCGGTAGGTGTATGCCTGCCTTTTATCCTACTGCAAGTAGGATAGTCATGCCAAATTTCAGCCCACCTCTGGCCTGATGTTGCTATATTATTTATTACTATTAGCCTCAGACTACTGGACTTGCAGCATCACCCAAAGAAAAGGAGAAGTTGTGTATGGAATGGAAGAGTTACATCACAAGCAAAACTCATGTGGCTTCCTTGTAAGTTACACTTCTTTTTGATGGATGGCACGTTACATGCAGCAAAAGGATGTCATTTTAGAAACAGATATCCTTTCATTTCACATCACCAAAAAAATCAAACCCAGCTGACATCCCTGGCTGACAATCCCAGCTGAGATACCAATAAAAGCCACAACAATGTATTTCACCTCTGGATTTGTTTACTCTTCTAGCTAAAAAAAATCCCAACAAAATTAGAAAGTACATAAAAAACAGGCCACAAACAACCCAGAATGGCAACTAATAAACAGACCTAGCATGGATAACAGTAACAGCAATGATCCCGTCAGGTAGAAGGGCACAAGACAGGACAGGTGTTCCTACCCGATGGTATGGACTGCGTTTAAAAAGTGCGAGATATCATTTGATCCTTCCCCACCAGTGTTTAAAGACAGATTTGATCAGATTCAATCTAAAACCCTTGTTGCCGTTCAGTGATTGCTAGAGAGGAATTCACTAATAAGCTGGTCTAGGGGGTTGAACCTTAGACCAGTGCAGGGAGAGTTGTGACAAAAGACAATGCAGAGGGTGTGGCAGATGAAACAGCAGTGAGTTTCTCCACTCTTCACTAAGAGCTGAAATCACTAAGAACCGGGCTCAGCGGCAGAACCTCAGAGTACAGCATCGCCACTAGAGGCTGAAACTGCAGAGATAACAGTGATAGCGGTGGGCATTGGCATTGGCATTGCTCGCCTCCTGCTTTCAGGGGTGGGTGCTGAACCCCCATGATGGCACTCCTAAATTCGGGGACTTCACTGGCCTCAGATAACCCACTGAGATTGGGGTGCAGTGAAGGGAAAGGGGAGTGGCATGTTAAGGGGATGTTCCTCCGTCAGACTTTCACACTGCAACGTGGGAAACAGACAAAAGACCACTGCCCAAGCTATTGTGGGGCAGGTGTTTACTTATTGTTTGCATACTTTTGAATCGTTGTCAGGATGTTTTCCCAAACTGATGCTGTGTTCCCTCTCCTTTTAATAAAAGTTTTCTTTTGTTATACACAGACTCATTGCTTGCGAGTAGGGAAACATTGGCTCGTCGAGGTGCCCAGGGATGGTGCTTAGTTTTCTCAGATTTCTGGCTGGGGGCTCAAGACAGTACTATCTTGGAAGGTTAAGAGAGACTCCTAGATACTGAAGCTGGCCCTTGCTGCCCCCGACCCCACCTGGCAGAAGGATTGTATCTGTAATTCACTCACTCCCACAACAGAGTCTACATTTGTTAAACTTCAAGACTTACCTTTCTATGACCATCATTTTGCCAAGGGCACTGAATGCTGATGGCATTCAACAGGAGGTTGGTTGTTTTTCATGGGCTTTTGTTTTTGATCTAGAGGTTACTGGCCAGGCAGGCTGGCTGTGTTTAATTCTGTTTGGGGGCATCATCCCGGTTTTTCTATTTAAATTGGCTGCGTGGCATCAAGAGTTGCAGGCCCCAAAGGACAGTATGTTTTAGGGATGGAGCACTGCATGGGGAGGAAGCAAGATTATATACTCAGATAAAAAGCTATGTTAATATCCTTGAATGCAAAACAACCCCCCCTCGTCTTTGTTTACCTTCCGCTCTGTGCAAAAACTTTCTTGCAAAAACTCCCCCATCTTTCTCCTGAGTGCTGTTTCTTCCCCTTGCCCAAATGTCCTTGTCTTCCCGCACCCTGCCTCCCACATTCCACTAGTGCTGTTTGCTCACAGCACCACCTAAGCAGGAAGAGAAAGAAATGCACCAGCTGGGCTTAGTGCAAGGTTTCCTCTCCCCTTGCAGGTCGCAGAGCAGGGCGAATAGAAGGGGTAGGCACTGGGACTTCGCTGGAGAGACATTCAGAGGGGGCAGGATGCTGCTGGCAGGGACAGTGGCATTGTTCCCTTTCCCAACTGGCTGGAAGCTAGGGGACAGGAACCATTTCCTCAACTCCGGTCTTCCCCTATGATTGCACTCATAGGTATGACTTTAACTTCCAAATGAATGGGCAAATATTTGCAACATGTTAACATGGGGATCCTGGCTTCTCCAAAATGGATTGTTCCCTCCACTGTAGTCGCCCACTCCTGTACATTTGGATTTTCAGTCTCTGAGCGGCTTCCATCTCCACATTTTCCCCAGTAGGTGGCAGCATTACACCAGGCTTTTGCTTCCCTGTAGGTTTTTATTTCCTGGAATGCAAAGGAACAGAACAATCTGTTGAGAAGGAAAACAATTCTACAGATCTGGATGCGATTTCCAGGAGATGGAGAGATCATGCACACAAAAGGCAACAGGCAGCACTGGCAGGTGGGCCAGAATCTCTCAGGCACAGCATGCCGGCCAGTTCAGAAACAAAAACAACTATGGAAGGGGTCAGGGCTGGGTTGGCTCCTAGCCAAAGGCTGGGAACATTTTCAGATTGTTTTTTCCCCTGCTGGAAACAGCCAAGTCACAAATCAAAAAGATACAAACATGGAACAAAGCAAACGTTCTGTGAAACACTATATTAGCAACTACACTGATAGCCACCATCCTCCGGATTAAATGTCTTCTCTCCCTGTCCCCCCTAAACAGTGCTGTGCCCTTTTGTTTATTTCTGCCCGTTTGTCTGGTAAACCCGTAGCTGCCAAGGATGCAGAGATGTCACTGTGCTGGAAGCTTGCTTGGAACCTCGCAGTCACAGCAGGGGAATCCTCTTGCTCCAAAGAGGCAGGCCTCACCCTGGAGCTAAAGGAGACACAGCCTCTTCTGGTGTGAGCAGCACAGCCTGGCCCCAGCTGAGCAGTTAGCTCTGTCCCAGGGAAGGCAGCAGCGCGCACAAGCACACACACAGGCCAGTTCACTACAGTATTTCCCCTCAAAGTCTGTTAGAAATGTTCATTTTCTTCCTAAAATCCCCCTCCTCCCCTCAAGACTCCCTTTCTGCAATCCCAACTCTCCCCCAGTATTTTCACCCTTAATGCTCTCTTCTTTCTTTTCTATTCCACTCTCTCTCCCCGCATCCCTACTTCCTCTGGTCCCTTTCTTTCTCCAGTGTCCATGGGAGCTCTCTTCCCTCTTCACTCCTTCCTCCCACTGTTCCTGTCTCCTCTGCCAGGCACTGTGCTCTCTGCAGGGAAGAGGTAGCAGCACCAACCTGCACATGGTAAACCCTCTCAACCCCCTCACCCATATGGCCCAGGATCCAGTCGGGAGTGGGGGCTGCCTGTTCTTTAGTGAGCTTGACGACACCATAGCCAAGCACACGGACTTGGTCTTACCTTAGTGTAGGCAGTGTGGCTAAAATATGAGTCTCCCATATTGGCGCTGGGCTCCATTCCCAGCTATACCAGAAGTGACCTTGTGGGACTTCTGTAGTCCTCACTTATCCTTGCAGCAAGAGGCTGGGAACGATACGTCCCTCTCTCTGAGGGCAGGGGCATGAGGCCTTGCTCGATAACACAGGCTCTGAAGTACAGAGGGTTCTTAATGCTGCTTGGTGACCGAGGTGCCATTAGGACTCCTGGCTGCCAGCCTATCACTCCTTCCCCCAGGCAAAGGGTATTTTTATAGGAGTAAGTGGTTCAATGTGTGGGAAAAGAAAAGGAGTACTAGTGGCTCCTTAGCGATTAACCAATTTATTTGAGCATAAGCTTTCGTGAGCTACAGCTTTCTTTTTGCGAATACAGACTAACACGGCTGCTACTCTGAAATGTGTGGGAAGTCTCCCTCTGGTGGGGACTTTTCCATTACTGCTCCCAGTCCTCCGCTAAGTGCCAAGAGAGCTTTCCCCGAATCCTGCGTGGGCTAGGGGTAGCTCAATTTCTCCAAACTTCTTAGCTGGTTAAGGGAAACCTCACTAGGCAGGGGGACCTGACGTGGGAAGAGGCAGGATAAGCTGGAGTCTGCTTGCAGGTGGAGCAGCATTAGCATCTGACAAGTGACATGGTACCCCTGCTGGGAGCTCCCCAGCTGCCCCTTGGCTCACCCTCCCCTCCAGGGGGAAGACCAAAAATTAAAACTTTTCATACATTGAAGCTCATAAAATCTGCTACAGTGCAGGAAACTGCACTGGGCATTACACTTTCCCAGGTAGCCTCCACCCTACCCAGATGCCATTTTCATTTCTATTGACTTCAGTACAGATCCTCTCATCCTGATCAAGGCTAAAATGTTGGAGTTTATAGAACTGGGCTAGGAATGATGCACAGTCACACCCAGCCACCCACCCGCACTGATGTTGCTTGACTGGCAGCTGATCTGTTGCTGAGGAATTTAAGTTCCTTTCAGATACACTCTCTGGTCCATTTACACTCTGCACTGATTGTCCTGGTATAAAAGTATAGATAAGATAAGAGAATGGGAACATCTAATCTCAGTGTGTTGCATCCCTTCACCACAAGATGATGCAACTACATGTCATCACATGAGGCTGAGACCTACAACAACAGACACCAGTCTGTGCTCCTTTTTGGGTCTCCTTCCATAGCACCCCTTAGTTCAGAAGCTGTGAAGTGTCTCTGTTTAGCTCACACTGTGCCATTCTGCTAACAGCAGCAACATTTGGTTGTGTAGAAAGAAGCTTCCAGACAAATCCCAAAACACATTCATTTCTCGCTCTGTTTAGCAGACAAGAACAAAACAATCCCCACAAAACACTATTTTTAGCAAGCTGTAGCCTGTTTAGTTAAAAGAAAAGCAGTATTTGTGGCACCTTAGAGACTAATCAATTTATTTGAGCATAAGCTTTCGTGAGCTACAGCTCACTTCACGAAAGGTTATGGTCAAATAAATTGGTTAGTCTCTGAGGTGCCACAAGTACTCCTTTTCTTTTTGCGAATACAGACTAACACAACTGTTACTCTGAAACCTGTTTAGTTAATGATTCTTCTGTTCCTCACTGGTATAATGACAGACAGGTTGCCATGGGGAAACATCCCTGTATTAATATAGACCCTGCCACAATCTGGTTTATGAGTTTGCTATTAGCTTAGCTGTGTGTGTCAACAGAACATTATAAACGCACATATGCACCACTGACTGAAATGGATTGACCAAAAATGATTTACCCTTCCTGCGCTGCAGTTTGATTCTTAATGTGGTTGAGGAAACTAAACTATTTTACAAAGGATTAGAGGATGAACTGGCTATTTATTTTTCTCCTTCCCACTAATGGACGATATTTTTGTTATTGCCTTGAAAGGATTCTTCGAAGCGATACAGTAAGTAATCCTTTCATTCGGATGTACATTTTCTTTGGTGCAAGTGTAGGGCTCAGTTCTGCTCCCACTGAAGTCATTGAGATTTTCGTTTTGATTTTAATATTATTAGTGGTTTCACAGCACCTAGAAACACTAGTCCTGGAGCAGGACCCTTTTGTGCCAGGAGCTGTATAAATGCCGCAAGGAGCTTACAATCTCAGTAGAAGCAGGCCCTTAAAGTAATATTTGTCCATTTGTGTGTGACGCTGATGAACACAGGTACTTACCTTAGCTGAAAATCTAATTTTTTTCTAATTTAAAAACCTAGAGAGTTTTATTTTGTGGGCAGCAACTATACAGCTAGATAGAAACAGATTACCTACACTATGTTCACACAGACAGAGTCAACGTGAGGTGTGTTATATTAAATCTCCCTTCAGAAGTTAGACAGCAGATGGAGTTAGCCATTCAAGGAACAGTCACACTTAATGTAAAGTATCAAACCTGCAGGAGTTTAATTAGTTTAACGGAGCAATTAGCAAAATTTTAACAAGTGTATTTTTTAAAATACTATATGATTGTTTACCTATATGGCTATTATTAACACCGCATGACATTGAAATTGATCTAAATTTGAGACATTACTCCAAATACTAATTGGATTATTTTTCAAGTAATGGATGACACAAGATGACCTCTAGGAATTCAAGTCTGACCTCATTCAAAATTTCCACATTATATATAGATAATAGTCAACTGCAATATAAATTTAGGAAGAAAAATCTCTCAAGTAAAAATATTCAGATGTATTGTTTTAGGTGTCCTGGAAACTTTGGCTTTATTACTGAAAAGCACAGT